CGCAAGAACACCTCCCTCGACCTGCTGGTCACACTGGTTTTGATGCAGCCCAGGACTCGGTTGGCTTTCTGGGCTGCAAGCACATGCTGCCAACTCATGTTGAGCTTATAAATCCACACCCCCAAGTCCTTCTCCTTAGGGCTGCTCTCAATCCATTCTCCACCCAACCTGTAGTTGTGCTTGGGATTGCGCCGACCCACGTGCAGGACCTTGCACTTGGCCTTGTTGAACTTCATGCAGTTTGCACAGGCCCACCTCTCCAGCCTGTCAAGGTCCCTCTAGATGGCATCCCTTCCCTCCAGCGTGTCGACCGCACCACGCAGCTTGGTGTCATCAGCAAACTTGCTGAGGGTGCACTCGATCCCACTGTCCGTGTCACCGACAAAGATGTTGAACATTGCCGGTCCCAGTACCAACCCCTAAGGAACACCACTCGTCACTGGTCTCCACTTGGACGTTGAGCCATTGACCACAAGTCTTTGAGTGCAACCATCCAGCCAATTCCTTATCCACCAAGTGGTCCATCTATCGAATTCATGTCTCTCCAATTTAGAGACAAGGATGTCATGTGGGACAGTGTCAGATGCCTTGCACAAGCCCAGGTAGATGATGTCAGTTGCCCTTCCTTTATCCACCAACACTGTCACCCCATCATAGAAGGCCACCAAATTTGTCAGGCACGATTTGCCCTTAGTGAAGCCGTGTTGGCTGTCACCAGTCACCTCCTTATTTTCCACGTGCAAGTTGTTTCCATTTTCAATCCCCCTTGGGTTTCTTTTTATATATATTCCAGAATGACATATAAAGATAATTGTGTTATTTTTCTTGTTTTATATATGGAGTACTTACAGTGTCACAGAACAGCATGACACAGAGCACGTCCATAGTTAGTATTTTTTCTTAAAATTTCTGTTACAAATTCTTTAAGTCTAGATGTGAAACACTAGGTAAGGATAGGGAATTGGCTGGATGGTCACATCCAAGGACTTACGGTCAATGGCTCAACGTCCAACTGGAAACCAGTAACAAGTGGTGTCCCTCAAGGGTCTGTACTGGGACTAGTACTGTGTGCATCTTTATCAATGACATAAGATAGTGGGATTGAGTTTGCAGATGGTACCAAGCTGAGTGGTACAGTTGACATGCCTGAGGGATATGATGCCATCCAGAGGGACTTTGGCAGGCTCAAGAAGTGGGCCCGTGTGAACCTCATGAAGTTCAACAAGGCCAAGTGCAAGGACCTCCATGTGGGTTGGGGCAACCCCCAGTATCAATACAGGCTGGGGGATGAAAAGATTGAGAGCAGCCCTGAGGAGAAGGACTTCGGGGTGTTGGTGGATGAAAAGCTGGACATGAGCCAACAATGTGAGCTCACAACCCACAAAGCCAACCATGTCCTGGGCTCCATCAAAACCAGCATGACCAGCAGGTCAAGGGAGGTGATTCTGCCCCTCTACTCCGCTCTTGTGAGACCCCACCTGGAGTACTGCGTCCAGTCCTGAGGTCCCCAACATAAGAAGGACATAGAGCTGTTGGAGCGAGTCCAGAGGAGGACCACAAAGCTGATCAGAGGGCTGGAGCACCTCTCCTATGAAGACTGAACAAGTTGGGATTGTTCAGCCTGGAGAAGACATGGCTCCAGGGGCACCTTATTGTGGACTTTCAGTACTTGAAGGGGGCTTATAAGAAAGCTGGAGGGAGGCTTTTCACCAGGGCCTATAGTGACAGGACAAGGGGCAACCATTTTAAACTGAAAGTAGATTTAGGTTGGATGTAATTTTTTTAATATGAGGGTGGTGAGGCACTGGCACAGGTTGCCCAGAGAGGTTGTGGATGCCCCCTCCCTGGAAGTGTTCAGGGCCAGGCTGGATGGGGCTTTGGGCAACATGGTCTAGTGGAGGGTGTCCCTGCCCATGGCAGGGGGGTTGGAACTAGATGGTCTTTAAGGTCCCTTCCAACCCAAACCATTCTATGAGTCTGTGATGATACCTATCTATCTGCTTTGTCAACATAGGCTTGTTACCTGAAGGCATCTCATGCAGAATATATATAAAGTCAGTAACATAGTGGTAGTGTGTACTGTGTTTTTGCAAAGTTTAGCATGCATTTTATACTCTTTGAAATGTATTGGGAGATATTTATCCAGCAGACTACAGGATGAAGATGGTAACTGGCAACAAAACCATACGTAATGTTTAATTATATAAAGATAGGCCAAACAATGGCTTTCGATTGTCTTTCTAAACAGCCCTAAGAAAGGTATTAAATTTATTGTAGGAAGTACTGCAGGTGTGATACAGAACAAGAAGATACAAATTTAATGTACTGCATTACTAAAAAAAACATTCTAGCAGAGAACAGTGGCCATTCTTAGACTCAAAATGCCTCTGGTTTGACAAGAGTGAGCCAATGACATGCAGAGAACTTCATTGATCAGCTTTACCTCTCTTCTGACTGTCTGTCCATGACAATTTTATTTTTTACAACAATTATTCAGTCCATTTGCTGTGATAGATTTGGAGTGCTGCCTTCTGTTGCATAGTACTGATGCTGGTCCTATATCATAACATCAGAATCAGTGTTAACAATTACTACCTTGAGGTTCTTGGAAAATCACCTCTTGGCCTCGTAAATGGCTTACCAGGATATAGGATGTTAAATTGTGGCTGTCGCCCACTTTTCAAACATCTGACTCCAAAACAAATGCCTCTCAAGGTTCACAGAGTCACAGATTCACAGATTGGCAGGGGTTGAAGGGACTTCTAGAGATCATCTAGTCCAACCCCCCTGCTAGAGCAGGATCACCTAGAGCACGCTGCACAGGGCTGTGTCCAGGCAGGTTTTGAATGTCTCCAGA